GAACAAAGAAAAAAAAGAAAAAGAACAAAAAAAGAAAAAAAAAAAGCTTACCCCCCCACTGAAAATTATTTTTCAACCGCCATCTTTGCATGAATTGTTGCATGGATTTTGGAATGCCATGTCCCGCTATTATAACGGCTCTGTTTTAACCAAGCTTATATTTAATGAAGAAATAAAGAGCCTTAAAGAAGGTTTACTACGTGCCATTTCTGGAATGTGGCATAATGTTTTCTCTGATGCAAATGCAGATATTTTGCATGCAATCTATCATGGAAGAATCTTTAAAAAAATCTTTAAACTTCACAACATAAATAGTTTGTTTATCTGTTTTAAGTGATGGTGCTGCCTGGATACTCTATATCTGCACCATCCTTCACATCTCTAGAAGATTGCTTGCCTGCAGTGCATGTGTGAAGAAAACTGAATCTCTAAGCCAGACCCTTCAAACAGCTTGCAGCCTACATACAATGCAAACAATGCAGCTGTAACAGAAAACATTCAGCTTGCAACCACACTCACCTGCTTGGCAAAGTAGACTTTCCAGAACAATGACTAAATAACCATCTTACACAACAATCAGCTTTCATTCAAAGAAACAACATACCGGTTCCACTGATCTCCATGCCTTCACACACACAAAGTGTCTCAGTTTGGACTGTTATGTCCTTGTCCAAAAACAAACAAGGACATCATACGTTTAGTTCTAGCAGAAACAAATATTATATGATTAACGAAGCTCAGTTTATTCAGCTGAATCAAGTGAGATAACCTCATTTACCCTGATAGATTATTGAGGGCGTTCTGCCCCGCACAGATCAATAAGAGCAAAGAAACTTGGCTGTCTTACCTGGCACGTCGTACCACGCCGCTCCATTAGTAATGCCATCTTTAAATGTTTCTTCTGGCATATCAGGACAGTGAGGCTTACCGGTCTTCATTACAGGGTGATTCTGGGAATACACCAGGGCCAGGTGGCGAAACAGACCATCGTCCGCCGACGGGCTGTAGTGACCTTCTTGATCGTGGGAGGCTGAGTCATCAAAAGGGTAACTGGCAACCACAGTGCCACCATGCAGGTTCCCTGACAGCACAAATCTAAGGCGATAAAGACAGATTTATATCACTAGCTTTAAAGCATAAAATTCACAGTGCTCCAAACTCTTTGTTACCATAACATTCATGTCTCTACTTGCCATGAAGTAAAGAAAGAATCTAACACTAAAAAGACTGTCAGCCTGAGTTATGAACAATTGACTTGATCATGTTTGACTGCTGACACATCAAATTATTCTTGGCTGAATATCATGAACAACTATAAAGAATAAGGACTTTAACCAACCCCAGCTTTAACGCTAGAAAGGCTCAACATTAAATTAGGATGAAACTGTGAACCTTTCTGTATAAAAAAGTGATGATGAGAGAAATGCCTATAATGTAGGATGACCTGAGGTGCATCCCCCCTTTGCAAAGAGCTGTGAAGCTAGTGTGACAACTTTTACTCTGTGAACCTTGCACTTCCTTGTGAATGATGGAGTTGCTCTTTGATCTCCACAACTAGCTAGACAATAACTGGAAACAGATTAGCTAAAGTATCAAAGCCACACGAGTCAAAACCTCAAATAGCTGGACAAAAACATCTGGTATCTGCGTGTTTAAAACAAATAACGCCAAAAATACTGACTTTTTCTCCTGGATCCATCTCATCACTGCCATCACCTCGGGGATATTAGCTGGATCCACGGTGGCTTTGTCGAACTGGTCAGGAAAGCTTCTGTTTAGGTCCTTATTTTTGGCGTTATTTCGACCGCCGTGATCACCACTGCAGTCCCCCTCTGTGGACTTCTCAAAGCCGTCGGGATTCATGCTGGGCATGATGTAAATATCCGTGCTGTTCACCAGTTCAGTGATGCGCTCTTCCTCCCCGTATTTGGTTAGCAGGTACTCCACTAGGTAAACCAGCACCTGTCTGGATACGGTTTCGTCGCCGTGCATGTTCCCAACGTATTTAAATTTAGGTTTCCCCAGTGACTTCCTGTCGGGGTCCCTGGTGATCCGCATCACCCACAGCTGCCTGCCTTCCACGGACTGCCCTACAGTCGACAGGTTAGCTATGTGAGGGTATTTCTGGGCTAACGACTGTAAACGTTTTGTTAGTTCATTATAATTGTAGTATATGTCGTAAGTTTCTACCGCTTCCTCCGTAGAGGCTCGGGCGCTTCTTGTGCCGAGCAGTCTGTCGTCGCCAAGAGAGACGACAAAAAGGAAAAGAAAGGCGAAAAGTGACACCCGTAGTTTCAGCGTCATCGAGACATGTTCCCAGTTAGCCACCATGTTGACCTGTCTTCTACTTCTACACCATCCGGAACTGCTAACTGAACAACAAACACTACACTCAGATATTTTGGTATTTGGCTCCGCACGGACGGACGTCTTTCCGCTGCCACAGTTGTTCTGGCCTGCCTGTTTCCATCTACTTCCGTTCACCTCACAGGGTCGGAGCTTCGTGGTGACGTCAGATTTTAAGGTGGGCCGGAGTAGTTCCGCCTTTGATCCTTTAAAGCCCGAAATAATTGCCAGAAAAATCTATTTGTTGAAAACGGTGTTTATTGAACCTGGCCATTAAAAAAAATATTGAATAACAATTTATATATATTAGCTTTAATTTGTATCGTACTTGGTACATCCGTCTTTTTTGGTCATTTATTAAAATAAAAATGCTAAAAATGTAGAAGAAAATTCTGTATAAGTCCCAAAAGCACTCAACAACTCATCAAATATACTACATTTGGCTTTAAAAGGGTTAATTTTACTGGAATGGGGGACTGATATAAAACAGAATACCGTCTATTTTGTACAGTTTTAAAGCATTTTAAATTCATATGGTATTTTGATCTCTTAAGTATATTATTTCATACATTGAATTGTCTTTTTTATTTTTATATTATTACATATGGTTTTTAATTTATTATGTGGCCATTATGGGCCTCGACTAGACAAGAAGGAACTGCTAAAAGAAAGGGAGGTCTGTTGTCCATATGAACACTTTATCTGCAATCTCTTCACAAAACCAATGTTTAGAGCATAGAAATCAACGCTTTAGTGTCTGGAGAACAAAATTATCCCAATTTGTCAGCTGTTAAGCATGGGGGGGTAGGAATATCCTCCTGTGGGGTTGTATGACCACCACTAATGGGAAAGAATGGATGCTACCAATATTAGCAAATTCTGGAAAATTGCAATCCAAAGCATCTCTCAGAGCCTTCAGATTTCAAAAACACAAACTCTCCTCACATTTTCCAGGCTAGGATGTACATGCAGCCTGGAAATCTTTCAATACATGTATTTTTCACCTTTCAAAGGTTCTGAGGACACTTCAAAATGCTTTCAAAGTGCTTTGTTTTCCCTGAGCTGGTAGCAAGTTGTCAAAGTTTTTGAAACCCCCGAGGTGTTTAACTTCAGACAGCTCTGGCTAAACTATAACTGCAGAGGTTAAAGCTGCAGCGGCAAACTAAACTAGATCTAATAGGTTTAGCATAAGGGATCTAAGAATTTCAATGTGTGGTTTACTTATCTGTGCTGTTGCTTCCTGCTGTTAGTCATTATAAGGAAGTCCCAATGTGTCCTGATTTTAAAAGCTGAATTTATTTTTCTAAGTAATTAGTCTCATTTCCACATTAAAAGATTCAAGAAGATGCTCGTGCTTTCCAATAATTAACCAGCTTTAGTACTGGCTAATGACACTCCTTAGGCAAAATACTAAACCTTGAGTTGCCCCTGATCCGAGTGTGAGTGCATGTTCATTCATTCATTCATTCATTCATTTATTTGTTCATTTCAGGCACAACAAGAATACATATATTGAACATAAAGTGCACAAAACAAAAACAAAAATTACCTGAAAAGGAGTGGGACGAAGAAAACTTATTAAATCCCACCCCTATACTCACTCATCAACAAAAAACAATAAGCTTCCCGCAGCTACGCCCATCGTTGCAACCAAACAAACCATCAACAGCCCCGGGCACATGCAAGCATCTCAACGGCAGCTCGCAAACAACAAATAGAACCTTCATAACTGAATACAGAATATATATTAATTATAAATTGCGTTACCACAGGTAACAGGCAATAATAATTACATAGTGACAAACACACATACATATACATACATACATATATATCTACACACACATGTACATATATGTACAATCATACGCACACACTTTTTTTTTTTTTTTAATCCATACCAGCAATGTTAAGAGAACAGACATTACAGAGCACACTAAAACCATCATTGAGTATACTGTGACCAGACCAACTGTTTGTAGAGGAATTTAAATCTATGAATATTTTTGCATTGTTTCAGTTGTAAACTCAGACTGTTCCAGATTTTCACACCACATACAGACACACAAAAACCTTTACAGGTTGTTCGAGTTCTGGGTAATTTGAATTCTCCGAAGCCTCTCACATTATAAACCCTTTCTCGAATTTCAAATATAATTTGTAAATTTGTAGGTAGAAGTTTATTAAAGGCTTTGTATAAGATTATAGATGTATTGTAATTAACCAGATCCTGGAATTTAAGTAACTTTGCCTGAAGGAAGAGTTTGTGAGTATGATCTAGATAACCAGCCTTGTGAATAATACGCAGTTCTCGTTTCTGTACTGTGACTAATGGATTAGTTGTATTTTTATATGTGTTTCCCCACACTTCCACACAATATGTAAAATATGGAAGAACCAGGGTACCAGGGTATGTGATTGGGTGACTTGTACTAGAAAGCACTTGTGAGTGCTCAAATGGAGTAGAAAGGTGTTATGTAAGTATAAGTCAATTTTGCTTCTATTAAGGCGTAAAACAAAACATGACTACCAATATACCTACTATCCCTTATGTGCTCCCAGCTTCTTTTCACTGCAAATAGTCACAGTTAAACAGAGAAGCCTAAAGCAAAGCTCGCTGTTTTAAAATAAATCACAACTGAGCACACCAGAGGTTAGCAGCAGACTCTTTATTTAAGTTGCCTTCTTCTGTCTTTATTGAACACTGGCAGCACCACAGTTATCCACAAATATGAGGAGCAATGACTCTGAGTGACATCACCACCCTGCTGCTGCCTTGAGGCCTGTTTTTAGCATCCTCCTTTTCTTTCCTCAGCGGGGCATCAGTCAGGAGCTTCTCTACAGTGGCCTGTTTTTAACTTTCTTTTATTCTTCTCATGTTTTCTCTTTATTTTCATTTGGCAACAGACAAGAAAAGTGTCGTAAACATCTCGATGATAAAGCACCAGAAGGTGCTGGAATGATTGGGTTAAGGGTGGAAGAGGAGGAGCAGGAGGGAAGATCTGGAGGAGGTAAAGAGCGAGAGGCTGGGAGAGGAGGCCGCGGGGTCTCATTGCTGGATTCGACGCAGCGACTGCACCTGGAAGGACTGAGCGTGGGAGCCCCACTCTCTGTAATGTTTGTACTCGCCACCGTGATGGTCACACTCCATGATGTACTGGTAACCACGGTAACCTGGAAACTGGTAGCACACCCAGCTGGTGGTGGAGGAGGAGGAGAGGGGAATTTGTGGTTTAGACAGCAAGTGAAATGAAATGCATTTAGAAAAATATACGTGAAGCTACAGGAGGAAAAGACAACAGTTGTATGCCAGTGGATAAGCCTGGAAGCCACTATCAGCTACAGTTTTCTTCACTTGTTCCAATTTTAACATGTGTGAAGCCTGTAAAGAGTAATACGAGTTCCGATGTCGAGACTTACGCGCCGCTCTGAACTTGCATAGATCCGATCTCGTTGTTGCCCCAGCCCATAGCCTGCAGGGAAGGATAGTCATCGTTTATCTCCCACTGGCGCCCCATGAAGTTCTCCTTCTCAAATAGCACCATCTTGGACTCCTTGTGATTCTGTGCGAGCATGAGTCAGCCAGAGAAAACAGGCAAAAGAACACATGATGTTGGTGATAGGTGTAGTAATGAGGTAGCAACCTTCCAGGCATAAAAGAGTTGCATAATAATCATTAAAATTGTGTGAATTGGGCCCAAAATCTAATAATTTACAAGTTGCAAGTGCACTCCATTCTATTTTAGGCTGCACTCAGCGCCTTTATTAGTCACTCTATTGAGCTTTACACACACATGAGACCATTTCATGAGACAAATACTTTTTTTTTTTTTACATTTTGTATAGATGGAGAAAAAGCAGAAGCTGCTGATTTAGGACAGAAACTCACAGCAGAGCAGATGGGGCGGAAAGACATCATCCTCTCAATGTGGTAGGCGTTGCTGCCGCTCCATGACTCCCAGTAAGGGTACTCTCCCCTCTCCAAAACAAACTGCTGGCCACAGAAGCTGGAGTGCTCATATCCTGCCCAGCTGCCACGAACAAACAGAGAGACACATGAATGCATCGCTGGATCACAGGAACACAGACCAATTAGAAGACATCAGGCAAATGTTTTGTATATTTTAAAAAAGCTTATAGTGAACTTTAAATAGTTATAAGTGAGGGCTATAAGTAATTTCAGATGTTATGTTTTGAGTTTAAATACTAACAGATCTTTCAGTATCTTTCTGATAAATGATAAATGTGTTTTAGGTCACACTCTGGTTTCGAGATTTTCTTTTCTCTGTGGGTGACTTACGCGCCACACTCCACCTTCAAGGATCGAATGTTGTCAACGCCACACTCCATGATGTTCTGGCAGGCTGAGGTAAACTCCAGACGCTTCCCCTGGAAGTTCTCCTGGTCATAAACTGTGATCTGGAGCGGACACAAATGCATACATGTAGCATGCACATGTTGCACGCACACACTGATGTGTGCACAGATGCACACGTCACACATTTATCAGGCCAGGCTTGATATTTAAAAGCATTATCTGCTTTTGTTGTTGATCCATGACAAGGGCGTCAGACTCACTTTCCATGGTCCCAGTGGGTTAGGGTTGTTTAGAGCCATGCTACTTTGTGTTTCCGACTTGATATACCTTCAGAATGAAGAGCAGGGAGTGTTGCATTTATTAAACATACAGCTTATCATTCACACCACTTAAAACAATAACGAGCGTTTCTGCAGTTTTTATGCAAAATATAAGAGGATCTTACAGACTGTCATCATTTTATGTGTCATGTTGGTGTGTCTTTTTTTGAATTTGACCAAATTTTATAACAAAATTTACAAAGTTCATTAATTAGAATGTTTTTGACATATATAACAATACTGCCTTTGTCATACATGTTTGGGCTTGAAACAGCTAACTATGGGAAATTCTCCACACTTGATGAAACCACGTTCAGATGTAGACACAGTGCATACATGTCCTCCCTGTGTGTCGTCAGTACACCTTTGCATATGCATGTCTGCTCTCTGTCTTTACATTCATGTGACTCAGCGAAATCCACAAAGAGGAAAAAAAAAATGCAAAAATGTAAGTGACAATAGTCTGCACAAGGTTGTATAGGCTGAATGGACTGAGATAGAGGGCTTACCTGACCGGCCCCAAAGAATAGCTGTTCAGTGCTCACAGGGGGCTCCACAAAAACGATGTCCTGACCTCAGAGTAAACGGACCTATTTATACATGTTGGTGCTGAAAAGCAGCTGGGCCTGTGGGTCGGGGCAGGAGTCAGCACATTGCTGCTCCGTGCATTGTTCGGCGCTGAGCTGCTGGGCTTTAGCTGCAGTAGGACTGGATGGAGGGCACGGTGCCCAGTGCAGATAAGCACAAGTTCCAAATGGTCCATGACCGGTGGGCCGGACCAAGTCCTGGCACGGCCTAGTCTGATAACAGATAACAGATGTTCACAGTCCTGGCAGAGACTGCCCTGCAAATAGGAAAAGCACCACAAGTAGAATTAAGTTAGAAAGCAAAAAAATGGAAAAAAGATAGGCAAGCTTAGACTTTTCATCATTAAAGGTTTTTCAAAATCTAGGGGGACATAAAAATTTGTCTAATACAAAAGATAACTTGTCTCTTGTTTACTCACAAGGGCTTTCCAGAATGCGGTGTGCTCTGTCTCAGATTTGTACATCATGTCCGCTTCTACTGACCCCACGTCTCCGATCCTTTCACCTCTCCCCTCTCAAATCAATGTGCACGCATGCTCAGTCATGCAGGCAGACTGTCATGGACAGAGACAGACATGCAATGGCTTCATTCATGCACTCACACATGCATGCAGAGCTTACAAAGGACACACAGAGAGAAAACCATTTACACGGGAACAGCTGACCTTCCAGTGTACACTCATCTTCTCCTTGCATATTGCTATTACTACTGTTAATAATAATAATAATAATAATAATAATAATAATAATAATAATAATGATGATAATGAAAAGGAGCCAAAAATTGCTTTGCACTAAAAAGTCAAAGGCTGTCTGTGAATAGGTGGCATTTCACATGTTATTATTATGCACCCTAATATAATTTTGTCTTTAAGGCAGAAAAAATAAATAATAATTTCTGACTTAATTTCCTGCAAAGATATTCATACAGGCGGCATCAATTACACTCTTTTTGTGAAGATTAAAGCTTCACATCCTGCATATTGTGGGTCAGTGAGGAAAAACTAATGCTTTGAAGCAGAAAACCTGTTGGAGTTTTATCTAAGAAACTTTTGGTTTAGCATTTGAATAATTAACCACTTGATTAAACATGGACACTGTGAATTCTTTTTATTTTAAGTGAAGCTGTTGTGCTGATCTAACATTCAAGGCTGAAGAGGTAAACCATTGTGAAATTACTTTCTCAAATGTCAAAAAGATACAAGTACAGTGTTGAAATCAGTGTAACCCAAACTAAATGGAAAGAAATATGTCACCAATACAGAAAAGGCTTGGGATCACTGTCCTGTTGAATGACCAAGCTTCAGAGAAGTTTTATCTGTCTCACATTTGACTCTAGATCACTTTGATATACAGATGAGTTCATGGTTGACTCAGTGACTGCAAGATGCTCAGGTCCTGTGAGGGCAAAACAACCCCAAATCATCGCTCATCCACCACAGTGCTGGACAGTTGGTATGAAGTGTTTGTGCTGATAAGGTGTGGGGGATTGTCTCCAAACATGGTGCTGAGCATTACGGCCAAACTTCTTCATTTTGGTCTCTGTTGAAAGGAAATTGATCCAGAGGTTTTGTGGTTTGTTTTCTCCTGGTAGCCATACTGGTTCAGTCCTTTTCTGATAGTACTGTCATGAACTTTAACATTTAACATGCTAACTGAGGCCTTTAGTGTCTGAGATTTAACTCGTGGATTTTTCACAGTTACTCTGAGCATTGCACAGTCTAGTGCAAATTTGGCAGGACGTCTATTTCTTGGGAGATTTGCAACAATCTTGAATGTTTTCTTCATTTGAGTCGTTTTTCTTTCCTTCTTTTTTTCCTTACTGCAGAATGACTCATTTCTAATTCTTTGAAAATAGCCTTAATTTCACATTTATGGGCAGCAACAATTGCTTTAAGATCATTGTTGATGTATTTCCTCCTTGGCATTGTGTTAGCACACACCTGAATACTACAGACCACCAAACTGCTAAAAGTCCCACTTTTATAGAGTTGCTCACACTTGCTGTAGTTGTTCACTACAGCGAAATTGATTTGCAGTATGTCCATACAAACAAACAGACAACCAACACATCACATACACACACAAAAATAATATAATATAATATAATATAAGCCTGAGAAAACAGCCAGTATCAGGTCTGAGTTTTGTCAGTGTATGTTTCCATGTTCCACTTTGAAGGTTCATGTCTGATGTCAGTGTATTCAGTTTTGCTTCCCCTGTCTCGTCTTGTCAATTACTCCCAGCTGTGTTCCCCACCTGTTTGTAATCTCCCTGTGTTCTTCTGCGTGTATTTAAGTTGTGTCTACTCGTGTACCAGTTGCTGGTCTGTCTGTGTATCCACCGTGTGTTCACCCTGCTGTCCACCTTGATATGCCTCTGCTCACCCTTTGTCATGTTTGTGTTCATGTTTGATACTTTAGTTTCTTACACTTTAGGTTATCTTTAGTTCCGTTCTGCCATTTTTCACCTTGTGTTTTATTTTTACAACAAACCTCCTTCGCACCTCCACAAGTGCCTGTGCTTGGATCCTCCTTTATTTTCTCCACACGGCTCATCCCAATCGCCGTGACACTGCTAAGGACTAGAATTATGTTTTCATTGTGTCCAGATACATAAAACCTTAAAATTGAAAGAGAGAGTGCACTTGCTTTTACCATGACTGTAAAAGAAAATGACACCGTGTTTTTATTTTAATATAGCAAACAAAAATACATTTAATGTTTCTGGTCTTTTGGTCATTTCACAAGTCATGTCAAGAAGCTGCCACTCTGCAAGTCTGCTGCTGTGCATGTAGAAAATAAAGCGTCTGTATGATACAATCATGGATGCATGTCTATCTGCATGACTATAGCCTGTCGACCACCCAAATGTTCCAAAGAGTGTCCGTTTGCCTGCCTATACAAAAGCTACTGCAGTCAGCATATTAGAGACGTGGGGCTCAAAAGCTTAGACTGCATGCACGAAGCATCAAAAAAAAGAGAAAAAATGAAAGTGAAAGCCAAAAAAATATATATCACAGAGCAAGAAGTGAAAATGAAATGAAAGACAGAAAAGAAAAAACATGAGGAAAAGAAAAAGCTTTTTAAAAGAAAGTCATGAAGAGAAGTGACAGCTTCACACACACAGGACAAACACCTAAGTGTGTGTGTGTGTGTGTGTGTGTGTGTGTGTGTGTGTGTGTGTGTGTGTGTGTGTGTGTGCAGACTTTCTGCTGATGGCAGTGACTGTCCCTGGTCCCCCACAATGGTCCAGGACAACAAAAGGAGCAGCTGAGTCATCATGACTTGTCCACGGATTAGCAGCGTGCCCTTTGACCCCACATTGTGAGCCAGCTCACAGCCAATGAGAAGCCGGAATCCTGCCTCTGTAGACTTGGTTTGGATGTGAATGTATATATATATCCCCTCTCATAAGGTCGGCGTCCATCACTTTCTCTAAAGGTCGGCCATTCCTTCAATTGTAACTGTAAGTTTTTCCTCTTTCTAACTTTTAAAGAACTGCTAGACTCGTTATTTGGAAATGTTGTGTTTGTTTTCCTGTCTACTGACACCTTGGACTCAAAGAACCAACTAGGGACTGCCTCTTCTCTTAAACCTTAACTCTGGCCTGAACAGGAGGAATATTGACACAGAATGCAGTTTACGTGTTCATTTGTCACCCTGAAGTTAACATGAATGAGAAAGATAAGAGACTGCGCCCAGTGCTTTTGTCCTTAAAAAGCCGCTCAGGGGCCACTATTGACAGATTTATGGATGATCATTGAATGTTCTTGCAGTCCTGGAATATTTACACAGTAAATACAACTTTAAGGTCAAAATCTGATAAAGTGAGTTATTATAACTAAGTTAAGCATTAAAAACTGATCAGCCTTAGATTTATGTTCACATAATAACGATGTGTCCAAAATGCTTGAATATAAAGACACCCATAGTTTATTTTTTTATTTTATAATGAGCTCAATCATTTTCAGAACGGATTTTTTTTTTATCCTTAATGAGCAGCTTGACTCTACTTAAACCCTGTTTTTGTTGTTGAACTGGTGTGGCTGAAGTTCCCACCTTGATCCCAACTGTGATGTCACTGCTGGATGTGCCAGAAGAAAAACTGACTTCAAATTATGTGTTTCAGTTTGCTTTGTGTTGACTCGTTTTATAGACTGCAAAAGTAAAACAAGCTATATCTGAAAACAGCCATTGGATAACTCTGAGAAAAACCTACTTTTAAATGAATAAGCATCAAGGATCTATCCAGCGAATCTTTAGAAAAAGAAAAGAATAGTAATCTTTGATTTTAAATGACCACTATTTTAATTTAATTGCCGTGCTGGAGTTTATGCCATGTTCCAGCAGTCGAGTGGAAGTAATTATCCTCTTCAGGATCTCTAAAAACAGCTGACTGACTTCATGCTTCTTCCCTCTAGAGCTGATCATGTCTCACTCAGGTGCTCAAGGCAGCATAGGCAGCCACTCTGCCATTGGGCTGCGCAATCACAAGGTACTACTACGGTTTTCTTTTTAACACCAAGAGCCCTAAAAAAAACATGAAAACAAGTAATTATGTATCTAAAGTACTGTACTTGAGAAACTAATGCTTTCAGTGTGTTTTTGCTTTCCAGATATACCTCTATGAATACGAGAACTTCCAGGGACGTAGAATGGACCTGTTTGGAGAGTCCCGTAACCTGTGCGAGAAGGGCATGGAGAGAATCGGCTCCATCCGGGTAGAGATCGGACCGTAAGTCACTGACCCCGTGTTAGACACACTGTGAGTGACAGCACACTTTAGGTTGCCCCTTTTCCTTATCTGTTTGTCCGCCTCTCCAGCTGGGTCGGGTATGAGCAGCAGAACATGACCGGTGAGATGTTCATACTGGAGAAAGGAGAGTACCCCCGCTGGGACACCTGGTCCAACAGCTACAGGTGCGACCGCATCATGTCAATCAGACCTCTCCGGATGGTAAGTTGTGGTTGACATTTTTCAGCCTGTCAATTTTTGGTTTAGTCTCTGGTGTCCGCCTCACGTTGCAGCTCGTGTCCATCTATTCTTTCTTTTGTCTTTTGCTGGCTCAAAGGAATTTATTTTTTTTGTGTGAGGGGAGGGGTTCAC